TTCTATTGAGAATTTCATGCATAGGTGGTGGATGGAGGTGACAGCTCCCAATTCCTTTAGGGCTGGTCTGCCCAACACTCTATGGTAAGCCAACCGGCTGTTGACAATGAGGAACTCCATGAAGTTCATCGTTGTTTGTGGGATTCTCCCATCTCCACTGTAAGTGTTATCTTTCCCCTCGGAGTGATGCTATCTCCGATAAATCCGTACAATGGAGTGGTGGTAGGCGTCAACTGATGATCCAATATCATCTTGTCAAAAGTGGATCCGAATGGAATGTTGACGGAGCTACCGTTGTCAACTGACATTCGTTTGAGCCCATTCCGGGCTATGACAGCCCTTACCACAAGTGCATCGCAATGGGGGTAATGAACTCCTTTGGTGTCTTCCTGGGTAAAGACAATGGGTGGAACTTGATTTCTTCGGGAGCTACTATCCACAATGTAGCTTGTCAAAGGGGGGTGTCTAGCCTTCAAATATGGTATCCACCTCGTGGATAGGGGCCTCATCTTGAGCCTCTCCGCATCATGCTCCCTTCATCGTGGGGATACATTCCTTTGACGGGGAGCGGCCTCCTCATGCCCACGTCGATTGTCATGCCTGGGCGGGGGCCTATTCGCCTGGGGTGAATCATGTCTGTCTCTAGCGGGTTCCTACCGAGAACGGTGTGCATAGTCTCTGCAATCCGCTGTGTCATGCCCGTAGGACCTGTGGTGCACACAGTATCCTGGGGGGTTCAGATTTGACCTATTTCTAGGTCCTGAACCTCGGCCTCGGCCTCTCCCCCGACAAGGTCCCTTCTGGGCCTTCATCTGATGGGGGTCAGTAATCAGGTTGACATCTTCATATGCCAAGATAGGAACCGCATTCAAAGTGGTGGTGGCAAGTGCTTGGCCAAAGTTCTCATTTTCGGCCTGGTTTATTTGGTAGCCCATCAGGTGGGAGGTCGGGCCTCCACCGCACTGTCTTTGAGGAGGTGGGAGGCATCTACTTGCCCTGTTCCTATGCTCAATCAATTCTTCATTGATGATCTCCCTTCTCATCATTTCGAGTAGGGCGTCATAGGTGGTGGGGTCTTGATTCTGCACGTCCCTCCAGAATAGGGTATTCATGTTCAGATCTCTCCTCAATGCAAATAGTGCCTCTCGATCAGTGACTTGTATGCAGTACGTCATCTCATCGGTAAAGCGTGATAAGAAGCTCTTTAGAGACTCTCCATGTGCTTGTCTCATGTCTTGGAGACGTTGGATGGGGGCCTCTCCTTTTTTGCTCACCGCGAACCTCTTCAAGAATGTTGTCTTGAACTTAGGCCAGCTTCTAATGCTCCCAAGTGGCAATCTGCTATACCAAATTTCAGCCGCTCCACTAAGTGTTAAATGGAAGGCTCTGCACTTCGCGGCTGGGGTGGCGCCCCTTAGGCTTATGTGAGTTTTATAAGCATTCATGTGCTTCTTCGGGTCGCCTCTTCCGTCATACTTTGGTATTTTTGGCATAACATAGTGGCGTGGGACCTGGGCATTCCTTAGTTCCCTTGAGAATGGTAGATTCTCATCATCATCGTCCAAGTCGCAGGACCTCTGCTATTCATCAGAGTCGTACTCATCAGCCTCATACCTTGGTTGTTGGTGAGAGATTCCGGGGCGGTCCCTAGCCTCTTTTTCCCTCCTCTACTGCCTATTTCTAGGCGGAGCAACACGGGGGGCATTTTCATGCCTTCTTTCCGGCTGCTGGGGCATTGGAGGTGGAGGAGCTGGCCTTGTCCAAGGCTGTTGAACCTGTTGTTGCCTGAGCCTCGGTTTAGCGGGGCTGATTCTGTCAAAAACACTTCCTGCCCTCCTATGTCTTGGATCTTGCTCATACGAAGGTGGGAAATTATCATGGCTCATTTGGACCTCGATGGGTCCGCCAGAAGCGTAGTTGGAAGAAACATCAACTTCCACTTCCCTTTCAAATGGGCTTCCACCTCGACCATAGTCTGGCGAGGCAGCTCTATGACTTCGAACTTCATCCTCTTACTGGTAGTGCCCTTGGGGGGCGTATGGAGGAGTGGGGAAGCCTCCCTGGCCCTGCATTTGGACCATAAGCTCCCTCATAACCAAGTTTTGGCTAGTAATATCCCTCATGTTGGCTGCCATGGTGGCCATTTCTCTTGATAGTCATGCCGTCGCACGCATCCCACCTCTTCTTTGGTGGTAGTGGAGTCTCTGCCGAACTGCTGGGGCAGCGGGCTGAGAAGGCATGTTTGTGCTTTCTCTTACCCTCGTAAGGGGAGTATCTTCATTAGAGCTCATTTTCTTTTGTCAGACTTCAGATTTTGCTAAGTAATGGGGCTTCCTCCTGTTCTTTTTCAAGAAAAAATCCTTTTTCAAGGGGGGTTGCCCAAATGTTTTTTCAGTAAGCTTTTAGCACAAGGTTGCTCGTGGTTATGGTATGGTTTTCCACAGATGGCGCCAATCTGTTGACTCCAAAAAATGTTGCCAATAGATGCCGATCCTACCCGCGCACACGTGGGTGAATGTCCAACACGTTAAGACACGTGGACGGTCTAAAACGAACGGTTCAAAGGGCGTGGGAGTAGCCCAACGACGCGGGACGGTGACGTTCGGAATTCGGCGGGTTGTTCGTGATCCGATTGTACAATAATTACCAACCAGTGTTCGTAAATGTATATGTAAACGTGTATAAACTCGATTTGTGTATTGCAAGTAAACGAGAGAGAGTTGAGTAAAGTGTAGTTCTTTGTATTGATTCTTGCATTAACCTTTTGATATTATACAAGGAAAGTATTTATAGTGGTACATGTGAAATGGGAGCCCTTGGATGAGGTGGCACGTGGCCTCATCTCTTTGATTTAAACATCTTATCAGGCATGATGTTTGACTTGATGCTTACAGCGCATTTATTGCTTGTGCAGAGTCCACATACTAGTGACAAGACTTGACCTTTATGCTTATGACAAACGTTCCATCAATCATTCGAATAAGATCTTTATGCAGACGATCTCTTGGGAGAAGTGATCATGGAGGACACTCCCTTGTGGTTCGGAGGCTCCTGCATCAGCTTCGGGGCTTCGGCCATTTCACATAATACTTCCGCTTGAGGGCTTCAGCTATCTTCAAATAGCTTTAGCATCATGGCTTCGGGTCATGGGCCTTGGCATGTGGACCTTGGGTACGTTCACAGGCCTTGGTAAAAAGGCGCCTCGACTAGTGGACGTCGGCTTGAAGGGCTTCGGCCATTGCCCACCTCGGCAATATATGCCACCTCGGCTGGAGTGCCACGTGGTTCGGCCTGAGTGGGCCATTGGCCCAGGTGGATTGGCCAAGTATGACAACACGCAACAATAGTCCCCCAAGTCCAAGTATGGATCAACTCACTTCTTTCGTTCCTAATCACCCTCCATCACCAATTTATCCAGGAGTCCCAAGACTACCATCATCCACATTAAGCCCCCGTTTGGCCCCATTCTTTCCAAATTTTAATGGTTGAAATAGTGTTTTTTGAAAAATATGTGGTTGAAAAGGAATGAGAAATTTTTTATTTGTGTGTAATATTATTTTACAGAAGATTGTGTGGTTGGAAATAAGAGGAAAAAGAATGAAAAAGAGAATGGGAGCCAAATGGGGATTAAGTTTCACTCGATTATAAAGTGGGTTTTTCGACGAAATCACCTAAATCTGCTTTGCTCTAGCTGGTACTCAAGGTATCATAAGCATTCAAAGCACATACTCCTCTTGGCTAGTTGGCACATATCTCAAGCATTATGAAGTGGTTTTTTCCATGAAAACACCCGAATCTAGTTTGTTCCAGTAGGAGCCCGAGGTATCTCAAGCATTCGAAGCACATACTCATCTTGACTAGTTAACACCTTGGCAGTTGACAGATTAAGAGAAATTGTTGTAACCAAAATTTAATGGATAAAAACACATCCTCAACACTATATTAACTCTTGCCAGACATAGTTCAATTTAAAAATAGACAAATAACAAATTATCTAATAAGATCCATTAACCAATGTATACAAATTATATTAATCAAAGTGTAGGAAATTCAATAAATATAATAGAAAAAGAGTAAGATGGAAAATGTAGTCAATCAACTTTGATTATTTAAGAAATAACAGAATCATTGAGAAAAGGTTAGGTCTCTCAATTTTGATTATTTGAAATTTGAAATATAAAGTTGAGCTCGAACTGAAAATAGAAAAATGATATTTTGGGCTCAATAAATTAGTTGGCAAATGAAACAAGAAAAATATATTTTTGGGTTCAATTAGTTAGTTGGCAAAATTATTTAGAAAATTTTCAAATAATTTGATTTATTTAGTACAAAAAATTTGGGAGTTCGATTTTTTTTTCTTCGAGTTTTCTTTTAGAATCGAGAACAAAACCAAATCTATCGGTTCTCGATTCTGATACGCATTTGAATATTTAACTTAAAAAGAATGGAATCGAACCACTCGTTTGGTTTGGATCCAATTCGAGAGTTTTGTTCAACCCAATTTCTACAACTAAATAATTTTCCAAGTTTTCAACAATTAGATACTTGAAAATTTGAGGTAAATGGGCCCAAGAAATCGTCCACACTAATTTCGTACCTCGACCCACATTAGTCATTAGGTTCAATAAACTGTTTCAAAAAAATTGGAAAAATAAAAAAGGCGCACGCTTTTTGACATTTAAACCCGCATTAAGCTGTCAAAAGAGGAGTTAAATCATGCCCCTTTTTTACGCCTTGCTCTCATATAGAGCATTTTGAAAACACCTCACTCGTAGACAATATTTATATGCACCAATAAGTTCTAGTCAAATCCACTTTGTAACTAAATCATAATAATAAATGATCAAAGTAGGCCCTGTTCGGTAGGGATTTTAAGAATTGATTTTTTTACCGTTAAGAGAAAAGTGGAGGTCACATGTGAGAGAAAAAGTCAAAAATTACGGTTGAAATAGTGAAATACTGATCAAAAAATCAATTTTTTAGGATGAAAAATTACTTTCAAACACCCCCTTAGTTATAAGTAAATATATTAAGCTTAGCCAAACTTTCACAGTGAAACTAGATAACAAAATATTGAATTGAACGGCTCATGATACCCCTTAATGTTTTATGTTCCAAAATGCTTTCCACGGAGAAAGTCACATCTCTATGTAACATATCAGAGCCCTCTATTTATTTTAGCCCCTCGATGTAGAGATTGTCGCTCTCAATCTCGACTGATGCAATGATATACATGTGTCTCTCTCTTTTCTCTTCGTCAGACAATTCATTGTTTTTTATCATCAACCACTGTCCAACTTGAGGCGCTTGAGCAATGCAAGTCGAGCACATTAACCGGCGTGCATGAGCTTGACCCCATGTCTAGTACTGATTCATAGCCATCCATTGCTATTTCTTGCATCAAATTGTAACAATTCAACAAATTATTCTGTCCAAGGAATGACGAAAAAGAAGTAAATCGATGAGGGTCAGTAACTTAATTTAGAGAGAAACCGAAATGAAAACTTCGAAAGGGAAATGGCATTGCCTTATTTACATATGAACAGCTGCAGATTGCATTTCTGAAGCTAGCAAATTGTAAAGGAAACAATTCATGAGCTGCAGATAATAAAGCCGATGCCGAAATTATTGATGGCTTGAACTCGAGGAGCTTGATATCTGAAATACAGTAACGACAGTAAGAAATATAAGCTAAAATCTTGTCAATTGTACTGTCAACTCGACTCTTTCACGGACTCACCATTTTGAGCTTTCATTATAATCTCAGTGGCTCTGTCTTTCAATGCTTGACTTGATGCTTGGTCCTCAAATTTGAACAATGAGATAAAGAAATGGATAAAAGAAAAAGGACTGATCGAGCGCATTCGCCATTTTAGAGCACCAAGGATCAACAACTCCATTCGCTCTATGGTGTGTGAATCAAAAATAATACCTCCACCATTCTGCCCAAAAAATTTACACATTTATAAATTATAATCAATAAAAAAATCTTAAAATTTTTTTGATTCGACCTGCAAAAAAAACATAGAATTACTTGGATTTTAGTAACAGAAAACTCTGTTTTTCTCATCTTCAGTGCTAATGAAACGCAAGAAATAGCCAAAAGTCTCAAGATCCACGGCTTCCCATCCTGCAAAACCAAGAATTCGTTACATTTTTACAAGCGATAAGAGAAACAATTAGATGGCTATAACATTTATAGCACGAATATATGTAAGGAATTGTACCAGTATAAATTGAGTAGAAAGGAACCGATCCAAGTAATTAATGGCAAGATAAGATAAAAATGGATCAAAATTTCGAGAAAAATGTAACACCAAAGAAATGGTTTCGTTTCGAACCGAAACACGTAAATCTGTTTCCTCAAGGAAAGATTTTGCAGGCATGTGATCAGTCTCAATGACAAAAATAGTATCTGAATTCGGTAATGGATTTTCAAGGTCAAACTCGAACTCCATTGATGATTCTTTGAAGCTCTCTCTTTCTTTCCCTCTTCAATACATTGTTTTGTGGGTTTTTCTTTTCTTTACCCTTGTGGGGTGGGAGTAGGGGGGTGAGGTGGTGTGCAGAGGGAAGTAAATGATAAAGAAAAAAAGATGAGTGTTCGTTGTCTGTGGTTAAAAAGAAAGAAACCGTAGAGAGACTTCTACTTCACGCTTCAGTTTTCAGTCATCTTTACACTTCACATTGCGAAGGAAAATATATAATATATGGGGGAGACTGTAGAGTTTTTATCTGGTGTACATGAGGACTACAGTTATGAATTCACTTTAATAAATATTGAAATGGCTGGAGAGATGAAATGTTTTATAGGGTATTTTTGAAAATAAATCTAGTGAAAGAAGGATGGGGCATGTAGCTCAAAGGATTAGAGTACCTCCCCACAATCAGCCTAAATTTTTTTTCTCTGGAGTCTGTAATCATGATTGAAATAGCAAAATTATCAATTTGCTTGTGTAACTAGAAAGATTATTTTACCTAGTGGCGACAGAGTGAGGCATGTAGCTCGAAAGATTAAATAATGTAACTACTAATTACGATGTCAGGGGTTCTAATTCTTCCCTATAACCAGCCTAACCCCCCGGGATGCAGGAAAAGGATTTAGCTATTTATAAAAACCCTAATATTTATAGAATATCCTCTTCATTTAAAAGCCAAAACAACGGTGGAAGAAACAACACTACAGTGAATATGTACCGATATAGCAATATATGAAGAAAAATTCTAAAAAGTGATGATCACCTTTTATTGTGGATTTGATGAATTTTAATACGTAAAGGAGTCTTGATTTATGTTTTGATTATTTGATAAAGTGCTATTTGAATTCAAATAGTATCACTAAGAAATTTTATTCCGAATTATTTGAGTTTTTTGTTGGGATTATGTCCCTTTTCTTGAATTGAAAATCACATTGATAACTATTTTTCTGCTAGGATTATCAAAACAACAACTTAATTTTTGCAAGGATTTTTTTCTTGATTTTCTTTGATTCAAAACAATGGTGGCTAATCAGCTAGGATTATCAAAATAAGTAAAAATAAATAAAAATTGACAGTTCATATATGACAATGATTGAAAATATGAAAGGATTATAAAGGAATTATGATGTGGTAGATATATAGAAATGGTGAAATAAATATATAAAAATGATATGGATGTATAGATATATAAATATGGTGCTGATAGATATAAAAGGATTCAGAGAATAAGTGTTGAAATGAATGAATTTTAATAAGGACAATATTGAATGTGATGAGGATAAAAATATTAATTTTCTAAATTTTAGTAGGGGTAGATATAAAGTGAGATGGATATATAACAACGACAGAGGTGAATAGGGGATATCCTTAATGAGTTTTTCCATTATTTACAAATTAGACATATGCAATGAATTTTATTTTTATGAAAAATTATGTTTTGCCATTTAATGCATTTTCTTTACGGTTGTAATCTATTTTAATAAAATTACATGAGGCTTTTATTTAGACCATTATAAAATGGTGTAAATGACTTTATCTCTATTAAATATTAGTCCTATTATAAATAAAATACCCTCAAAACATCAATGATCAAAGTCACTTTATAACAGTTTATGAGAAGTAAAACCAACTACTTCAATAATGATGAATAAGTTCCAACTGTTAATAAATTTTTGCAGCACATTGAAGTGATTTTAGATAAATTAATATTCATTTATAATTCTATTTATAAACGAATTTAATAGTCAAGAGACTGTTGAATTGATGGAATCTTGGCATCCATTATTTCAAATTTTAATGAGTGAAATAGTATTTATTTTATTTTTTTAGATAATTGGTGGTTGAAAAAAAAAATCGATTTACATGTAATATATTTATGGAAGATTGTGTGATAGAAAATAGAAGAGAAAAAAATAAAATTTAATTTAATGAAGGCCAAACAGGGGCATATTAAAGTTGGTTCAGTCGTCATCCCAAAAAATTCATCCGATCATTGTTGGACTGTAATTTTAAATATAATTATTTCTCAATAAAAAATGGTGTTTAATATTAGTTTCACAATAAAAAATTAATCATAATCAATATTTTGGTTACACGGCATATCATTATTATTCAAAAATAAGAATCGATGTATGTACTATTTGAACTCTATAAATAATGCAAATTATATATTGCTCGCTGTTTTCTTTTTCCTCCTAGGAGGTCTTCCTCCAGTATTTCGAAAAACTCTATTTATTCTAATATGGATGATTTTATAATTTGAATAGATTTTGATTTCTAGTTCATCCGACAATTGATAGTCAAAAACATTTTCTTTCATGTGACATAGTTTACAAAATAGTCGAAACAAAAGTCAATTAACTACGACAGAATGTGGCTCACATCCTTTCAAGGATATTATCATTGGACATGTCCAAAGGCAAAGACAAGGTTTCAAATCTTTTGGTTCACAAAAAATTTTGGAAAATCCACTGCCCAAATTCTAACAAGAAAAACCCAACAAAGATTGTGTGATAGAAAATATGAGGAAAAAAATAAATTTTAATTTAATGGAGGTCAAATAGGGGCATATTAAAGTTGGTTCAATCGTCATCCTAGACAATCCATCCGATCATTGTTGGACTGTAATTTTAAATATAATTATTTCTTAATAAAAAATGGTGTTTAAAATTATTTATTTTAATATTAGTTTCACAATAAAAAATAAATCATAATCAATATTTTGGTTACACGACATATCATTATTATTCAAAAATAAGAATCGATGTATGTACTATTTGAACTCTATAAATAATATGAATTATATATTGTTCGCTGTTTTCTTTTTCTTTCTAGGAGGTCTTCCTCCACTATTTCGAAAAACTCTATTTATTCTAAAGTGGATGACTTTCCAATCCGAATAGATTTTGACTGATTTAAACGGCTCTTAAAATTTTCCTAGTTCATCCAACAATTGACAGTTAAAAACATTTTCTTTCATGTGACATGGGTTTACACAATAATCGAAACAAAAGTCAATTTACTACGACAGAACGGGGCTCACATCCTTTCAAGGATATTATCATTGGACATGTCCAAAGGAAAAGACAAGGTTTCAAATCTTTTGGTTCACATAAAATTTTGGAAAATCCACTGCCCAAATTCTAACAAGAAAAACCCAACAAATTTAGTACAATACAGAATTGTAATTTCAGAATGACAGCTTGCTTTTGTGTCCTCAAATGTATGACCATCTTCCCAAAAATAACAAGATTATGAAGAGGACAAAAACACCAATAATTGCTGTGCAGACACGTCTTTGTTAGGCTACCTGTAGCTTATAGTGCAATAATAAACATACGACTTTTCTGCGTTTTAGTGAAAACCAAAGTCAATGTGAAAAAAAGCCTTCCATTTGAGTAAAAAATCATTTATTTCGAAAGAACTACTGTTAAAACTTTCGACATGAAAATCAAGGAAAGTGAAAGCGGAGACAAGGTTCAAATTATGCAATCTAGTATGAAAGTAAATAGTGTACCAATATTACTAATAACTCTTGATGCTACATCTCGAAAGACCAATATCTTTTATTATGAGTAGTGTTGGTTGTCAATTTTGATCTATTATTGTATGAATAACTTTTGTTGCTATTGTTTGGGCAGCAAAATGTATGTCTCTTCTCATACTACTTGTCAAGAATCAAGAAACTGCTCGACCTCGAACATTTGTACCTGCAACTAAGGAAGGTTAGTATGGATATTCTTCACTTAATTTGGATTTTCATTCAACCATGGCCAATTTACCTTGTAGGTTTGTTGACAATAAATATTTTCTTATAATATTTAGTCGTCTAAATAACACATAAGATATTTAGAAGTTCGTCTCAATATAATACTAAGTCCTCATCTTTGCAGTAATTTACTGTAATGAAAAGAAATTTACAAGAGAAAACTCTCGTACCCTATTTTCTCTAAGATGTCTCTCCTTTGATGGTAATACAAAATTCAAGTGTAAAATTTTTAAACTATGCTTAACGAAATATGAGATCAATATGCTTATGATTTCTACACAGCAACAATAACTGGACTCCACAATATAACTGAATTGAAACTAGTTTATTAGTATGGTACTATGGTATTACTTCATCAGTATATAAACTATTACTTCCAAGTCCATTCATGTATAGAAGAAGCAAAACAATTTTAAGATTCTTGCATATTCAAAGGCATCTTGCTCTCCATTCAATTTTTTTTATTATATTTGAGTTCCAGACCTTCAATTTCTTCACAATCGAATTTTCTAATATAAATTCTCTAAAGAAAGTCATTAAAATATCACATAGTGTTGGCAACCGGTGGAAATATTTTATGAAAATTATAAAATAATCATTTTTCACTTTGAATATTTGATCTCCAATGTCCAATTTAATATTATAGGAACAGAGCCACAAGTCAATTTCGTGGTGAAGCAACCATATTTTTTTAGGTTCATATTTGTCTTTGTATACACCTACTTTTGACTTGATTCACTAATTCATTGAATATTTTGACCCTGGCAAAGACTTTAGAAAAGAAAGAGCGGAAAATGTGTTCCTTTTTTACCCCAAAAAAAGCAAAGGGATAACGGGAAAAAGAAAGAAAATGATTTTTGGTCTTCAACAATGCTAGAATGGTTAGTCATTAGATGTTTTTTGGTCATGACTTAGTGAGGAAAAAAAAGGAAAGAAATTAATAATGTTGAGATGTTTTGCTACCTAATATATGACATTCAATGGCAATTAAAATTTTAAATAAGATGATAGTTTGAAAGGTAAATTTTATATTAAATATTTGACATTTTGCAATTACATCAATAATTACTTTTTTACTATTTTTTAAATATACTTTGAATTTGTTGCCATCGTATTCTCTCAAATTTTACATTACTAACTTTGAATAGGTCTAAAGACAAAAATGTCACTTCTTTGGATGGTTACATTCTCAACAAAAAATTCAAACATGAAATCATTGTGTAGAATGGAATTGATTTCTATTTAAAAAATCATTGCCCCGAAAAATTTCACTTGAAGTGCAGCGGAAACAAAAAAAACATAAACGAGACAAAAAGAGAAAAATGTGAATTTAATGTAGTTCAATAAATCCCCAGTGATAATAAAAAAAAGTAAGACTTTATTAATTGAGAAAACATCCAATACATCTCAAGTCTCTCTTCACAAAATTATGACATCTAATGTACACCGCACGCCTGCTTCACTACAACACAGTGTATTTTTTATGGTATATATTGTATGCCGTACATAATAATTTACAGCATACAGCAACATTCCGTATAAAGCAATGCCATATAAAATGAGTCCCTTTTTGTGGCGTGCATAGTGCACCGTACAAGGAACTCCATTACTCATTTTACGGCGTTCCGTTGCACGCCGTAAAAAGCATACCACTTTTTACGGCGTGTCAGTTTATACGCCGTATATATTCCTTCTACGGCGTTCACAGAATGAATGTCGTAAATGAGAGACACTTTTTACCATTTCTTCTTCTAGTTTCTCTCATCTCAACTTTTTTTCCCCAGTATTTTGACTACATATAATTCTCCATTTAAATTCACTTCATCTTGGTGCCAAATAAGTTTCAAAAATGGAGCCTTGGATAATATATTTATAGAAGACTCCATCTCTCTTGCCTAATTGCATAAGAAATCATTTTTCTTATACAATACTACACACTAAATCTTATTTATTTTCAACTTGTGAAGGCCTTAATCTTTATATTGTTAATACAATATGATTGCTTTTCTTTTTCAAAAAAAAAAAAAAAGATTTCTGTTGAACTCTTCTATTCTACAAATTTGGATCAAATCCAACAATCATTGTCTAATATTCATAAAATTTTTAGAAAACTGATATTTATAAATTTTTGGTCTATGATAGATATCTATTGATTATGAGAATTTAAAATTGAGCATTTATTATACAAAAATAGTGTCTCTACCTTAATAAAATAGGACATGTTGGTAACTTAAATCAGAAGTAAGTGAATGGAATAACGAAAAGAATTGTGTGATAATATATTCGTCTTGTCTAATTCAATCTAATTCACCATATTAAATATTTCGCTCCATAAGTATAATTAGTTCTTTATGTGACCAATGTTGACTTCATTGGATTCTTCTTACAAGTCAATGATTTAGTCCATTGAGATCAAACCGAAACTAAATTTGTAAGATCTTATTGCAATATAATATATCGAAACGTGATTAATATATACAAAGATGATAGACCCAAAGAGACACAAAAAGGGAGAGGGAAAAAAATGAGAAGAATCCAAAGTGTGCTTTAAAGTTTTGATAACTTCGAAATGCCTTTGAAGAAAGTTCCCACATTGTTTTTTGGGTGTTTGATGCTTGCCCATCTCGTACGTTTTCTCTTTATAAATTTACAAATAGATAGCATGCATAATTTATCTTTCTTTCATGGGTGTGTCTTCTTATTTAACTATGCAAATGGATTCTCTTAGGTGCAAGAGAAAGCATAAAGAGACCCAACAGACCCAATTTTTTTTTTATTTATTTTTTTTCCTTCATTTGGAAACCCACGCACACTCTCACTCCCACACACACGCCACGCACACTAGATACGTGATAGATTATTTGTTAAGTGTAAAACAATTAAGACCAAAAAAAAAAAAAAAAAAAGGATTTCCAAGGGATTATTCAAAGGGATATGTTTCTATATGTATCCCACATTGCTTGTGGAAAGCTGCCTTTTAAGTATAAGTTTATAATTACTTCAACTACCCTCTTACAAGTTAAGTTCAAAGGTGATTACTATTAAAGTGATTTTTACAATATACTACGCCTTTTGAGCTAATTAATTAGTACTTTGGACTCCCTCTCCTTATAAATCGATTTTGAAAGTTAGTTATACCAAAATGATTCTTACACGATACCTAGTTTTAACACGCTTGGAGTGAATGGTTTTGGTTAGGAGTGATCGCGGTTCGGTTTGGACGGTTTGTGCTATATTTTCAACTCAAACCATTTTACACTGTTTTGAAATTTTTTCAAACCAAACCAAACCATTTTATTTTTCGAACCAAACCATAATTTGCGGTTTGGTTTGATTTTAATCCGCGGTTGACTTTTCGACATTATAGTAATGTATTTAACGTAAGTTAAATATAAGTTTAAACAATAACTGATTATGTTAAATGTTAATTTACATTCATATTTACCATGAAATTCATGAATAAATTATTTTCAAAGTTGGTTGCTAAAAGATGTTAAAGAACAAATACATCTTTCTTTATTTTTATTTATCTTTTCTTATTTGACATTCGTATTGTCATATAACTATTGGTAAAGGTAGAGTTACATTCTGTTATTATAGTTTGCTTAAAATTACTTTCGTCTTGCTAGTGTGATGTAAAATAAGGATTGAACGTGATATATTTAGATGTACAAAGATTGATAGAGTTTTGACTAATTAGAAATTGAAGAATTTCATCCTCTAACTACTTAGTGAAAGTAGAATGTAGTAACACTAGTTAGGGAACTTTAACATTTTCCTATAATCAATACATTCCGTCTTTCATTTTTTCCAAATCACAAACAAGTTCTTTAATCAACTAGGCACACGAATAATCATTTTTCTATTCAAACCAGAACTTACAAGTGTATAATAAGTTCAAAAAAATAAATAAAAGAAAGACCAATGGAAAAATGTGTTGAATAAGAATCTAAGACGAGAAAAGAGAAAGAGACAACTTGGGAAGATATTAGTAGACTAACAAAAACAGACAAAGCCAATTGGTAATTCGTTCAACAGTGGTAGACAAGCATCAAATGTTAGGAAAATCAGAGTTTATGTTAGGGCTTCTAAAACTTTGGACGTGATTTACTTACGTAGTTTTGTTAAATCATGATTTGGATTGTTGAAAATATATATTGTTTTATTCATTTCATATGATTTTGGAATAATTTTATTTTAGTTTAGATATCGGGTAAGACATGTGTTGTGAACCTGTTAAATCATATGTCAATAATGATGAACATAATTTATTTTTTATAATTATTTCAATAAGTTGGTTATAATTTATATTACTAAATTGGTATTTTTTTTTTAAAAAAAAATTAAGTTTATAAAATTCATGTTTTAATTAAAAACTTTAAAAACAGTTCGGTTCGATTTTGTACGATTTTTGAAAATCAAAACCTAAACCAAAACAATTTGAAACGATTTGGTTCGGTTTGACGAAAAAGAAACCACGGGTCCATGTGGACCCAAACCAATGGTTTCAACTCAACGGTTTCGATTCGATTTGCGATTTCATGGTTTTTTTGTGCAGCCCTAGTTTTGGTGCGTACTTCACCTTTCTCGCATGCAAATGAACACAATCCTCATATTCCTGTCATGTAAAAATAAGAGCGGAGACAACAAAGTGATTCTTGTTCTATTTGGGACAAAATCGAAACCTTACACTAATTATTGATGTTCTTAAATTTCATTGCCAGCCAACTATTTCTTTGCGGGATGATCATTCAATTAATGACTCCAGTACACGTTTGCATAATTTAATATTAATGAGATTAATTTCCACATAATTGTAGAATGTGGTTAGCATTATTCATAACAATCAATGGCCTTTGATTACTGTTTCCATTCTAATTTTACATTATCAAAACTTTTCTTATCATATTTAGAGGATTTGTCAGAGCATTTAATTGATATTTTAGAGAATTTTTCTAGCAATAAGTTTATTTCAAATAACACTGCATGAACGATTAAATATAAGCTACACAGGAAAGATTTTAAAAAATGAATATCTAAGATAAAAATAAAACATAGATGTCAGTTCCTAAACATGAGATAAAAAAATCCAAAATAAAAAAAAAAAAAAAATGGATCTTAATATAATGGAATGAATCAAAAATCGAGAATATACAACTCGTCAATCTACAAAATACACATTTTATTTGAAAGAATCGATTGAAAAGTAAAATAAGAACATGTTGAAATTATTGTTCGAAAATTCAATGAAAAAACGAAGTGGAATGGAAGTGAAACAAAAGCGAAATGGAAAACCAACCGGAGGCCCATTACATGTGCCATGCGACCGCAAGGCACTTTGGCCATGCGGTCGCATGTCCATCACCTGAGAATGGAAGCCTAGTTTCTAGTACTCCATGCGACTGCATGGAGTTATACCATGCTCCATGCGGTCGCATGGTAGTTCCGGAGTGAACGTTGAAGGCCGTTGTGGTTTGAAATTGGTGGCTTTTCAATTATGAATTGGTACCACTTCGCATAGCCTTGTTTCATGGCTATATATAGGTGATTTGTGATCATTTCAAAGGTATGAAAAATCATTACAAACATGAGAAAAATACCTTGTGATTCAAATATTATTCCACATTAAATCAAACACTTGATTTCTCATTCATATTCAATTATTCCTTGTATTCTTAAAGTTTTGGAGGATCGCGCTTATGCTTTAGTGTTAGATCCTTTACAATGCTTGATATAATCCTACAAACCGTTTATCAAAATCTTTAAGCATCTCAAACAATCTCGAGAGGAGGCAAATATAGTTTGAAGACAGCGATTACGCATTCGAGCCTTCATGTTCGTTGTGTTCTTCATCTTCTTTGTTTCATTTTCTTGATTATATTTTCTGGAATTTTCTTTTTCAATTTCCTCGGTTGATGTAAATATTTCCAACAGAAAAAACCAAAGAAAAATTGGAAGAAAATAGAAGTAAAAATTCAACAAAGAAATGACAGTCTTGGTTTACAGTCAAAAAAGTACACACACCCTTCGAAACTGCAGCTCATTCTCTCGGAAGAAATCGATTCGTGAACTTGAGGCAAAAAATCAGTACCAGATATTTATATAGCGAATAAATAAAAATCGAGAGCATATAAGTCATTAATCTACAAGAAGACACAATTTATTATAAAGAAATCAACCGAAAAAATAATAAAACAGACGAAGCAAAACTCGGAAGAAGGTAGAAGCAAAAACTCGAAGAAGACAGCGTATAGCATCGACAGACGTACCTACTACAGACTCCAACTATGATCTCTGATGGTTTAAGGAAGATCCAAAAGAAGAAGAGAAATTGCCAAACAAAAGAAGCGAAAACAGCAATGGTGCTAGGGTTTGAGAGAAAGAAAAATGACCTAGGATTTTCACTTTTGTGACCTTTGTACGCTCTAAAAACGGCGCCATTTTCTACGTAAAATTATCAAAACGACGTCGTTTCACATAAGTCTCAAAACGGTTGCTTTGGATGAAAACGTGAACAGTACATTTATTAGTTTGTAATGATATGCTTAAAGTTTTCTATGCATTTTCTATTTTAATTAGATTATTGTTCGTCTTGAAATGTTATTAATCTACCTTAACCTTTTTAGCGTTAGACATCCCAACCATTCACTTAGATACAAATCACGTTCCTCCGTCCATTTTTACTGTCGAAATTCGCGTAAAATGACGAATTTATATATCAAGACCTCAATGTATATTGTGCCTGATGGAATGCTACTTATGAAAATATTAATTTATTTAAAATAATTTATAATTTAATTTAAATTACGAGGCTGAAAATATAATTTTAATAATTCGAATTATATTTGTTGTCAATATGTATAATTCGAAACACTTTCAATAACTCCCAGTTTAATGCAACTTGACTTCTTCTTTTTCCACATATAATAAAATGATTTATTTAATAAAAATTAAATAATTATTCATTGTCTTTGCCAATATTAAATTTCTTTAGTTATTATTGCCCCCGTTTCCTAATCAATAAGTGATCACTGAACTCGTTCCATTTAATTTGACCCAGCCTTAAAGTTAGTTTTTGGACATAATATGGAACCTAACGCATGGGCTTAATTTTGGGCTTTTATGTCAATCACAATTAATGGGCCGAATATTGGATCTTCTTCGGGCCGACATCTTTTTTACACCATTCCTATCAAAAGTGGAAGAGGAAATTATACAGTGGAAATCACAACCATCCTACTTTTCAAATAACACTTTCAAAAATCAAATTATAACCATTTTCTTTCAAAAATCAGATTATAATTATTTTATAATTTAAAAACACAAATAATCTAATAATCAAATCACAAATCCCAAATCCCAAATCCTGATAATCTAATAAATTGATCATTATCCGCCGCACCCACCATATGTACTATAAATAATAACAATCCACCATGGTTTTGAGGGTCCATGATTTAGTTTAGTATAAGTTGGGATACCTGGCTATCAAAATAATAATAATAATAATAATAATAATAACAATCCACCATACCCACCCACTATAGCCTAGCGGTGCCACCATACCCACCACTCGCAGTCACACTGTGCTAAGAAGCGGCGATTAGCGTCTCGCACAGATCGTCGCTGTGCAACCCCGCACGCTCAGTGGTGAATATAGGAAGAAGTGGTGGCTCTAGCGTAGATTTGTCTAGTAGCAAGAGGAAGAATTGTGGTAGCTCTTGTGATGGTGCGAATATCAGGAAAAGAGGTGGCTTCGACGTAGATTCATCTGTTGCTCACCACTGTGCACGATTTTGGGGTGATTTTGGGAGGTTTGGGGTTGATTGTGGTTTATATCTAAGATGGAGCTGTGTTTTCAGGTGGTTTGGGATGATTTGAGATCGTTGCTGCGCAAGCAAGTGACGACTATGGTGGTTTTACACAAGTTCAGATGACGATATAGTGGTGTTATTGTGGTGCGTTGAGCGGTGTTGTAGGTATGGGGTGGTTTTGCTATTGTTGTGGTGGTGCAGTGCAATGCTGTAAGATGAGGTGCGATGCTAGCAAGGTAGTGGTGGTTGTACTTGTGGGGTGGGCAGAATGTTTGTGACCAACTATTTGGTTGATTGTAAACAATAAATTAATTATTTTGTGATCAATAAACAATATGTAATCAATCATTTGATATTGTCACCAATAAATAATATATGATCAAAAACTTGTAACTACTAAATAATATGTGATCCAAAATTTTGAGTTATAAAATTTGTAATTTATGGTCTATAAATAAATCGTGACCAATAAATAATATTTAACACATTAATTTGATAAATTTGTGATCTATGAAAAAATTGTGACATATAAAATTTTTTATTTGTAACCTACAAAATTTTTTATTTTTATTGTGATCGATAAATAATTTGTAACCAATTAATTCAATAATTTGTGACCAAATTTTATATAATTGTGACCTTAATGTATTTAATTAATTATTTTATAAGTAAAATTTTAAAAATTCTTAATTTTGAAGTTTTAAACATTGTTTTTTAGTTTTGAAATGTATCATAATTACATATAGACATGTTTTTAAATATCCAACTTCATAAATAAGATTTTAAGTTTTATCTTTCATATTTCAAATTATAATTAAGTATTTAATATTCATTAAATATACACGATAATAACAATTAATCTAAATTAGTTAGAAACACACACTCTCTTTGCAAATTATACACATTCTTTCTCTAATATCTCACTTTCTCTCTACTCTCCCCCTCCCCTCCCTACTCCAACTACAACACCACAGGCCCCTCCGTCATAGCCGCACGATCACCTTGGTACCAATGTGTCAATCTTCTTCTTCTTTTCTTTAGTTTGATTTATCGAAAATTGATGCTATGGAGTCGTGGTCGATGGTTTTTTGCCCTCTCTATAGTGATTTGTGAGGGTTGATTGTCATTGTTCGATGGTGGGTTCAGATGGTGGTGCTACGCGATGGTGGATTCGAATGGTTTTACATAGGTGTTGACTGTCACTACATGGTGGTATGTTGCAGTGGTGAATTCAAATAGGAGTGGTGGTGGTTTTATTTTTGTTGGAGTGGTGGTGGTGGTGGTCGCTTCAGTGTGTTGGTGATGATGAGATTTTGGATGATTTTAGTTGGTGGTGGATTTGCAATGATGGTGAGGTGTTGCCAATGGCGATGATAACAACGTAGTGGTCAACAGTGTTGCAGTGGGGTGGTGTAGGAAGGGAAGAGTGTATGTTACCAATTACTTGGATTGTTACGACGAATAAATTGGTATACGTGACCTAGAAGAATGAGTAACTATAACCAAATTTGTGATTGTGATCAATTAATTTGATAATTTATTATTGTAAAATAAGTTGTGACCTATAAAATTTGTGATTTATGACATGTAAATTTTTTGGATTGTAACCGATAAATAATATGTGAGCAATTAATTTGATAATATGATACTAAAAATAAGTTGTGGCATATAAGCATGTAATTGTGACCCTAAATTTTATATTTATGACCCTAATATATTTAATTAATAAAATATATCTTTAATTAATTATTTCATAATAAAATTTAATTGATATCTTATTTTTAAAATAACTAGTAGTTAGAATGTGCATTGCACGTTTTATGTATCAAATGAATGGTATGCCTAATATTTTTAAGTACTAATAATGTTTTTGAAAGTAGTTGTCGTAATTAATATTACTAAAGGAAAATTTAAATTGTAAATATATATATATATATAATGTGAAAGGTTGAATAAATTTAAATGTAATATTTTCATTTGAATAACATTTATTTGTACACAATCTTTTGTGTCAACATCCTACAACTTTTCTTCTTTTTACTTTCTATTTTTAACCTTTCATCAAGACTTTTGTTTTTTGCATTGAAACTCCACAAAAAAGTGTGAGATATAGTTGCCCATAAGATAATACGCGTTCAGAAATATATATTCTAATAGTAAGCATTTTTTGTCCTTAAACTTTGTTAATGATAATTGAAAGTATATATGTATTGAAAATTATTATCTCTTAAATTTGAATAAATATCCTTCATCATCTGTTGGGATTAGGGTTGTAAGCAAAAATCGCAAAATCGAAAAATCGAACCGAAATCGAAGCCGCATTTTAGAAATCGTCGATTTGGTACCACGTGGACCTAGTCAATGAAATGGTTTTAAACAAAATCAAACCGCAAAAAATGGTTTGATTTAGATTTAAAAATTTTAATTGCTGTTTAAAATCAAACCAGACCGGCAAAAAATATATAAAAATAAAAAAATGAAATTTTTTGAAAATTCATCCAAATATGTAAAATTCAATAGTTTTGTCATTTGTGGGTATTTTTGTCAACTTCTAATTTTCTAATACATATATATTATTATTACCTAATAATTATAATTTATATATAATAATTTCAAAACTAACATAATATATCAAAAGCCATTTTTTTCTTCAGAATTTAGATGAACTCCAACCGACACCCGACACAATCTTGAGCCACCGGCACTACATACACTTCTTCAGATTTTTTACGCCTCTTCAAAGTTGAATTGTAGTCCATTACATCAAATCGGAAACAAAGAGATCCTAGGCCTTCAATAATAATATTTGCTACGAATAAAGTTTCAAATCAATAATTTTTTAAGCAAACTGAGGTAAGAATATGAAATTAAATGCGTTTTGTAATAACATACAAACATAAGCTTGTGTAATTGTTATATTTAAATATTATAAACAATTGCTTTATTATTGTGGTTGGTTATTCTCTTTATTTAATCAGTAACCTTTTGTCAAATATGATGATCACAAGGTTTTGTTGGATATCATTATGTTTTTTGGACTTTATATTTCATTTTGTAGACTTGTACTGTAATGTTATCGTAACGTCATTGGCCTAAAAAAGGTGAACAAAAATGAAAAAAATATGTTTTAGTTTATTGTGATTTCACTTTGATTTAGTAGATATGAGTTCAAGCCATATTTTTCATGTTATCATAATGAGAAAATTGACCGTTGGAGAGAATGTTGGGTCCCACGCATGAAACAATAAGTTAACAAATGCGATTGGACTTGTGAGATAATGGTCCGAATTTCCATATTTTTGTCCCAAAAAATTGAACAAGGGCTTAGATTTATTGCTAATAAGATAGAAATATATATTGAAATCAATGAATTAATGTCATCAAAGTAGACAGATAAAAAAATATATTGACGAAATTGGCTCTTTAAATCAGACCATACAAAGGTTTAGATTTGAGTTTTTTAAACCGTTCAAAATAATTTGGCTTAGGTTTGAGTTTTACAAAAGATAAAAAATGAGAATCAAATATGAAATGAAATTACTAAAAAGAATATACCTTGAGTATGAAGA